CAGCCTGCAGGCACCCAGCTGCCCCAGCAGTCCTGCCCGGGGCTGCCCTGGCCCCCTCCACCCTGCACCCAAAGGACCACCCCTGCCCATCCCTCTGCACTCAAGGGTGTCCCCTGCCCTCTCCCTCTGCACCTGAGCACCACACCAGCCCCATCGCTCTGCACCCAGGGACCACCCCATCCCCTCCACGCGCTGGATCAGCCCCTCTCCCACCCTCCTTACACCCCAGGTCAGCCCTTTCCCTGTCTGCCTTGTACCCAGGGGCCACCCCTGCCCCAGCCAACCCTGCACCCAAGGGCCACTGTCCCCATCCCGTCTGCACCCAGGGGCCATCCCTGCCCCACTGCCTTTAGGGGAGCAAGTCAAGGGCGGGGGGCAGAAGCGGGCCAGGCCCCCACGCCCCCAGCCAGCTGCTTCTCCGCAGGCAATGAGTCCATCTGCTCGCCCAACGTGTACATCGAGTGTGCTGACCACACGCTGGGTAGGTGCGGCGGCAGGCAGGTGGCTGGGGGCCAGCCGGGGGGAGGGGGCTGGGGGTTTGGGCCGTGCCAAGGGGTGCGTGCCCCCAGACGCGGCGGTGGAGGACAGCCAGGAGCGCTGCAGCTGCCCCACGCCATGCAACCTGACGCGCTATGGCAAGGAGATCTCCATGGTGCGCATCCCCAACAAGGGCTCGGCGCGTTACCTCGCCCGCAAGTACAACAAGAACGAGACCTACATCCGGTGAGTTGGCGGTGCTGGGGTGTGCCGGGGGGGTGGTCAGGGGGTGACCTGGGGAACCCTCACCCCGCTCCTGGCAGTGTTCAGGGAGCGGGTCCTGACATGTATGCTCCCTGCAGCATCCTCTGCCCAGGGGTGGCTGCCACTAGAGCATCTCCACCACCCATCCCTGTTCTCGCAGCCCTCCTGCTGGCACCTCCCCACCTGGCGGTTCCTCCTGCCCTGGGGCACGTCCCCACCACACTGGGCTGAAGAACTCACAAGGGCCCTGGGAACACCTGGGAGCTGGAGGGCTGGGGGACAGGGGAGGTTTGGGGGGCAGTGGGCGTGGGAGGGTCAGTGACCAACCTTCCTTACGGAGCACTATGGTGTCCCCACAGGGAGAACTTCCTGGTGCTGGACATCTTCTTTGAGGCGCTCAACTACGAGGCCATTGAGCAGAAGAAAGCCTATGACCTTGCTGGGCTTCTTGGTGACTCCCCCCACCTGCCCTGGGACCCCGAGGCGCAGAGCTCTGGGTCCCAGCCATGGGAGGGTACAGGGCTGGCTGGGGGGAACCGCATGGGGCCGGAGCTGGCCGTGGGGTGGCTGAAGGGTGGCATGCTGCTGTCCATCCCCTGTCCCACGTGTCCCGTGCTCCCTTTGTCCTAACGCCCCTGCCCACGTGACAGTGCTGTCCCCTCCACCCAGCACTGCCCGCAGCCCCGCTGGCCCACCCAGGGCTCCCAGCAGGCTGTGCAGCAGCTCCCGGTGACCATGTCCCCTTCCTCCTCCCCAGGGGACATTGGGGGACAGATGGGCCTGTTCATCGGCGCCAGCATCCTTACGATCCTGGAGATCCTGGACTACGTCTACGAGGTGCGCGGAGCCCTTGGGGCTGTGTCTTGGTGGTGGGACCGGGCGAGATGCAGAGCAGGGGCTGGGCTACCCGGGGAGGAGGTGCTGTGCACGGCCACCTCGGAAGGCTATTACAGCCCCCAAAGTGGGGAACTCCCAGCAAGAGGCAGTGGGAGGAGGACGGGTCCCCCAGCATCCCTCGGTGCCCCGAGGACGGGGAGGGTGGTGGGCAGAGGTGCTGTCCCCACTGTCAGCCCTGTGTCCTCTGGGCAGGCCGGGGAGCGGGGA